TCAAATAACTTTTCAGCTAAAATTATGTTGCAAACATGATCAGAGGACATCAAGGATTATGAAAAGATGATAAAAATGGGTATGGAATTTTGATGGCAGGTCCTCTTTAACTAGTAGATTGCAAAATGCCAAATACCACAACATCAAAGGGTCACAAAAGACACTTACATGTTTGCGCATTTCGTGATAAGGACAATAGGTTGTTCTCAAAATCTTTCCAACCCGACATTCAGCAGCAACCACTCCCATTGCAGACAGGTACCCCGTCATCATCTTTCGGCCATATATTGACCCTGTCTGATAAATCAACATAAGCCGTGACATATATGTAGGCCAAGTCTATATGAAATATAAAATATAGAAAGTGTGTGTGTGTGTGTGTGTGTGTGTGTGTGTGTGTGTGTGTGTGTGTGTTGGAGGGAGGGGGTGATGATGGGCAGAATACTGAATGTCCTTGGATTAGGTTCATTGTGTCTTTTTTTTTAATAAATTACGATCAGATGTTCTTTTATACAGACACAGATTTTTTAATTACCTTGCTGACATGTTTCGACATGCTAGCTGCAGTCTTTCTCAGAGTGGTTGTGTGACGCGTCTTATAACAGCTGATGTTTCTGAAAGTGTGACCTTTCCGTCAGTTTGACAGATCAGTCAAGCCTTCAGCTGCCCGCTTGACCCCTGCAATATGGCACTCCAGGTGTGGGATAGCATATATGCCCCCTCCTCCCGGTTGATGGTCCTCAGGCCTCGCTTCCGGTTTTCTATTGCCTCCCTGATCCAGCACTGATGTTTATTTTCTTTGGTGCGGATGACTCTGGCATTTTACCAATCCATGATGTGGTTCTCTCGTTTGCAATGGTCTGTGATAGCTGATTTTTAATTTTCTTGTTGTGCCTTTTCTTTTATTGTTCTTGTTTGTCTTGTTACTGTCTTCTTCTCACAATCTTTCTTGTGTTTACTCTTTTGTATTGTGAAACCCCTCCCTGTCTCTCCGATGTATGTTTTGTTGCATGATTGGCGTGGGATCTCATATATGGTATTGAATTGGTTTTCCGGGTGTTCTTTTGGGTGAACCAGTATCTACCGGAGGGTTGTGTGTGGTTTGACAGGTGTGTTGATGTTGTATTCCTTCATTGCCCTTTGGATGCGTTCGGTTACACCCCTCAGGTGTGGTAAAACCACCACTCCCCTGTGTTCTTTTTTGCTGTGTTGCTTTTTGGCTTTCTTGTTTGTTTTATTATTGTTGTTTTGGGCTTGTTGTGAGCCCTTTGTTATTGTCCACTGAGGATATTGGCAGGTTTTGAGTGCTTGTTGAATGTGTCTTTCCTCTGGGTCTGTGATTATGGCCGCGCGTTCATGCAGTGTCCTGACTATTGACAGCTTGTGGACGGTGGGATGTTCTGAAGTCCATAAAAGGTATTGGTCGGTGTGTGTGGGTTTTCTGTGAACTTTATTTTTATGTCTCCTTTGTGTCTTGTATTTTACGTCCAGGAATGATATGGATTTTCCTGTTTCTTCTTCATGTGTGAACTTGATGTTCCCGGTGGTGTCCATGGTGGTCCGTGAGTTTTTGTGTGTGTCCCGCCAGTATCTCCAGTATGTCATCCACATATCTCTTCCACAGTGTGGTTTTGTATTCTTTGGGTATGGTCTTAAGTGCCCTCTGCTCCAGGTCCTCCATGAAAAAAACACACATAAAGGCTGATAGTGGATCCCCCATGGCAAAGCCTTCTTTTTGTCTGTAGATGGTGTTTCTGAATTGGAAATATGTGGACATAGCTATGAAGTCGAGTAAATGGGTGATATCCTGTACTGTGAGGTTTGTGCGTCCCCTGAGTGCCCTATCCACCCTTAACCTGCACTATTTGAATGGTGGCTTGTGTGGGTGTTTTTGCGAAAAGGGATATGACATTGTGTGATATGAATGCTTCATCCTGTTGTACTATTGTGTTATTCAGTTCTATGGCCAGTTGTTTTGAATTTTTGCAATGTTTATCTGTGAGCCCCACTAAGGGTTTTATTATTTCAGTGAGTGCTTTTGACAGGCTATATGTTACTGATCCAATGCTGTCGTCTATGGGGTGTAGTGGTGATCCTGGTTTGTGGATCTTTGGTGTGCCGTGGGTACTAGGTGGTTGTAGGATTGCTTGTCTATTTTGTGGTCATCGAATAGTCAATGGAGTCTCGACTTGAGTTTCTTTTTCTTTTCTTCAGTTGGGTCCTTCTTAAGTAACTCATAGGTGTTGTCATTCAGTAAATTCAGCATTTTTTGTTCATATTTGTCCATGTCCATTATGAATGTGGTTCTGCCTTTATCTGCTGGGAGGATTGTGATGTCTTTATTTTTGATAAATGATCTCATGGCTCTTGCTTCCTGTGTGTGTTCTCACCATCCTTATGGTGTCAGTGTGTGTGTGTGTGTGTGTGTGTGTGTGTGTGTGTGGGGGGGGGGGCTGTTATTGTGTGGAGGAGGGGGAGTGGCCTGTGTGCTGCTGAGCTGCTGAGAGCAGACTGTCAGACAGGTGAGGAGTGGATCATGTCCTGGATTTTGTAAGAGAGTATTTGACTATCCCCCTTTTGGGCTGGATCCCATCATGGCGGTGGAAGTTGTGGGCGCGGCGTGTGGACTGGAGCCAGGTGTGGAGGCTGAGAATCCTGCTCAAATGTTCTGCTTTGTGACTGAGTGGGGGGATTGGGCCAGAGATAAAAACGGTCTTTCCAGTGTCCTTTAAAATGTTAAAAAGCAAGTTAATATCACTCTTTGTGATTTTCGACTGTTTGCAGGAAGTGCCGTTTGAGCCAACATGGAGCACAATCTTAGACGTGGAGGAGGGGAGAGAGAGGAGTAAATGGAGAAATTTGTCCACAGTGACAAAAATGGTGGTGCTGAGAAAACAGTAAGTTATGGCACTGAAAAACCTGATGTACCTGGTTATGTCGTGCCAGAGCTGAGGGCGACAGGCTGGTGATTTTGAGGCCTGTATCAGGGATATGTGTTTAGCTTGAGCTGATGCTACAGATATGAAGCCCCCCAGCTTATCCTTCTCACAGATAATTTTGCAGACGGCAGAGCATCTCTTCTAACCATGAATTTTTTACTTTGCAGTCCACACACACAGCCATTTAAAATTCCCACTCTTCTGCATCCTGCGCAAAGTTGGTGCCATAATGAGAACAAGCAGCTTTTTCAGTGCGTAATGCAGCGCAGATTGTTTCAAAGAAAATGGCCAATAAAACCCATACACAGTAAAAGTTTAACTTAAAAACCAACAAACTCTTAAGAATGCAGTCTAAAAAGTTGCTTAAAAACGGTTAAAAGTCTTTCTGGTGTTGGTTAAAGATCTTTTGTGTGTCCTTACAGACAGTCTAAAGTCAGGATGGCTGCCTTTGAGCTGCGGGAGGCTGTCTTCACAGGATGTTTTGGACCTCTCTGGTTCTTTGGGCTGTGATCTTGGTCTGATTTCTCTAAATTAACGGTGGTTTGAGTGCTCATTTTAAAGTTCAGGAGGGTGTCAGGCAGGAATGCTCTCTATCAGGCATACTGTATACTAGCCTTTCTCAAAGTGGATGCTATGGCACCTTGAGGTGCCATCTGACTGCGTCAAGGGGGCTGTCAAAAAATGACTTATTCTGACATTTCATACATAAATGTGTAATTGAAAACATAAATAAATTTATTTTTACATACATGCATGAATAAATAAATTTTATAAATATAAAATTAAAATATATGACATTGTGTGAAATAAAATATAATAAATAAATAATATTTATTAATTATTTGATGGTTTTCCCTTTAATTTACAAGAAACCCTGGATATGTTTGCATGACAGCCAATATGCTTTGTTGTAAAATGTATCATGTAACTACAATGGCTGTAGTAATAAAACAACAATAATAATGATAATAAAGACGATAGGGCTCAAAAAGGCCCATTTTGTTGCAATGCGTTGTGGGCCGCGGTCAGCATAATACTGGCAACAGTGTTTGATTACATTGCTGAGTAAGACAAGGGGCTCTATTTTCGTGCGCGCCGGTGAGGCGGCGGAGGGCAGCGAGCCCCGCGCAGTTGTATTTTTGTCTGGCGGAGCCCGGCGTAAGGCCAGTTTGGTATTTTCGTGGACTGAGCCGCACGGAGGCGAGCCGAGATCTGCCAAGCTGGGCGTGGTGGCATGGCAGGGGGAAGTGTCGACAGAATCAGCAGGCGCAGTGACATTTTCGTGCTCGCCACCGTCGTGTAAAGTGCGCTGAAAGCTCGCCGATTCAAACCTGGTCAGCTTTCAGCGCATGGCGGAGCGCAGCTGGTCTAGTAGTATTTTGGTAGACCGGCGGCGTATCGACATACGTCACTGATGCCTCACCGGCAGGTTTCCACAGTGTCAGGCACGTTTCGGTGCAATAAGTAATCATCATCAACTATTAATCTGAGTCAGCACATACATTTAGACCTATATAGATATATTCTGATCTATATGTGATGTGATGAGCGCGTTTGGCACGCGTTTGGACACACAACCTGACCGAATCAACACAGCTGAAACCACAAATTTCAGCTGTGAAACAAATTATTTTGTATTTAACAAATTAAATTAAATATCTAGTAAATAAACACACATGATGAAGTTAACTAGATATGTAATTCGTCTCCCTCCTTTTCTTTCTTCCTCTTCCTCTTATTTCTCGCACAGCTCGACCTGGACACGTCTCCATGTCCTCTGTCCGTCTTGCTGCTGCTGCGGCTGAACAGATGATTTGTTTCAGTGCTCAGATGCGTTATCTACTTTAAGCCGACATACGGATATTATAATATTCAGTTTTGTGGGCCAAATTTATTTTATATGCCAACATCTATGAAAGAGCCAGGCCACCGAGTGCGATGCGTCATTTACGCACAGATGGTTCCAATTTTAATGCCATTTTTGGAGTTTATGTTGTGATCTGTGCGCTCAACCCACCTTTGTCACGTGAGGTTTGAATATGAGCAACTTTATGTGAGTGTCTTTATTTGTGGAAAAGGGTGTTTGTCTTACCAGTGGGTCCAACATTACACACACCAAATCCATCTGTGCTCATATGAGAGAGTGTGGAGGACACTTGTTGAGGAGCTGCCCTCTGTCGCCATCTTGTGGCATTACTGTCTTAAGACATCTCTTGATCTCTTTGACTACTTCATGAAAATAGTAATACGCCTCGCCTGTGGTGGATTTAAAGGCAAGGAGAGGAGCTTATGTGATTGGTGAAAACAGGTCTCGGCTGTGTTAAGCCCACTCCACGCCCTCTCTCCTCCCCGTCTACGACTTATGGTGCTGGGAGGAGCTGAGTTAGGGAGGGGGGATACTTACGCCGGGCTGTGCGGCTCACCAAAATACCAAAATGTGCTTGGGAACGCCTTGTCAGCGCGGCGGATCTGACTGACGCTGCGCTTGCGGCACGTCTCCGGCGAGGCACGAAAATAGAGCCCAAGGTGCTGAATTTCAGGGTTTCCCCTTTATGCAATCGATTGTGGCACACCACCACAGTTAAATAAAAGCCACCACACCTTAAAAATGTGTTTTTTTCATACGTGGCTTTACCTTGGACTCATGTGTATCAGTACACATATGTGCAGCGGAGCTCGCATGTGCCAAGCATTAGCATTAGCGAGCTATCTTCGGCGATTACACAGCTGATTAATTAGCAAGTTATAGGACAAATATAGCACAAAACTGATGCGTCAACTCCGAGCTAACTGCTGAAAGTAAATGAATTAGATATGGGATGCAGGGCATATGATTCAGCATCCACTACAGCGTTTGCTGCACCAGCAGTGAGTAATTTGATTGACAGGTCACTGCATGTCTCCTTGAATGAAAGCAGCGCGATCTTGGAAATGTGAACGAGGAAGCCAGGAGGAACACATGCATTGATTGAGAGGAGCTGCTCATAGATCATGTTAAAGAAGGTTTTAAAAGGACCTTATTAGGGTATTATAACAAATCACCCCAAGCCCTAGCTAATTGTCTGCTTATGCCTATGCAGATGATGTCAGTATTCTGGTGAAAAACCAACAAGATGTAAATGTATTAAATAAAACTGTGTGTGACTTAAGTAAACTATTCTCTGCTAAAGTCAACTGGAGGAAAAGTGAGGCCTTAGCAGTCGGACATGAATTGTGTAGTCAGCTGGTTCTTCCAGGAGGACTCAACTGGAGAAAAGATGGACTGAAATATCTGGGAGTTTTTCTTGGAGATGAAACCTTTTTATACTAAACTGAGACAATTTTTTTGATAAAGTAAAAAGACTGATCCTTGCCATTAATAATCTTGTTTCCTCCATGTTATGGCATCAACTGGCGTCAACCCTCCTGTAAACCTGCTGTAAGGATGCCTGGCCCACGTTCACACTTTGAAGAATGGGAGGTCCACACAAATGATCAGTTTGACAAGCTTTCCTGGTTGTGGATCTGGGTTAAAGCTTCAGCATACCACAAGTGTAACAAAGAGTGGTCTGAGACTGTTCCGGTATATAGAGCCGTCCACATCTCCAAACATTCTGCTTACATGGTGTTGACATGAAGTAGAGTCCATGTAGGGGAATAACAAAGCACAACATCTTTTGGCAATATAGAGAGTCCATATAGGGTAATTCCACAGCACATCATATTTTTGGAACCTGAGTGATGTTAAACAGGTGTAAAAGGTGAGGATGGTTTTCAGAGGCCCATGGCTCCAGGAATCTAGCACCAAAGTCAGTAGCGGTTCTAGGCACGGGCGAACAGGGCAGCTGCCCCGGACAGCATTTGTGTCATGGGGGGCGGCACGAGCACTTCCAAAAAAGAAAGAAAAAAGATAATAATAATAAATCTGCACCACAAAGTGGTTTTGTATTAACTCTTGTTGTCAAATTGGCTCCCCCCTGCTGCTGTAGGCGCCCCTGCTTGCTGCGAAGGTGCCGCACAGAGGCTGACAGACTGTATGAGACGAAACGGGGAGAGGGTCACGGGGGACAGTTCAGCTCTCAGGATTGCTCTCACTCTGCCAGTCACAGTGGCTCAAGCAGAGAGGAGCTTCTCAAAACTGAAGTTGATAAAGTCATACCTAAGGTAAACCATGTCTCAGGAACGGCTCACTGGCCTTGCCGTCATCAATCACTTAACCCATTCAAACCGGGACAGTATGTACGCATTTCAGCCTTCAAGCCGGGAGCACGGATACGTCATTTCGTAACATTCTGTAGTCTTTTAATCATTTCTGGAGTCGTGGTGAATCAAATCATTATACCCATCTGCCTCTTGGAGGGGGTCTCGCCCGGGGAGTAATTTAGTCTAGAACCGCCACTGACCAAAGTATCCATGGTATTTGAGTTACACAGCTCCACCGCCCTAAAAGCTGACATGATTGGCTAAAGAAAATCATCCTAACAGCTGCTGTCCTGGGTGCAGGTGCTGATGGTGGATTTTTTTTCTGGGATCGGCTACACTGGATACCTCAGAGTGTCCTCTTCCTACCTAAGGAGGACAGGGGGCACGGATTGGTCCACCTGGTCAGCAGAGGAGCTACCTTTAGGCTCCAGTTCATTCAGAGGCTCCTGACTGTACTGGTGGACCTCATATGGAGACCTGTGGCTCGAGCCACCCTGGAGCGCTGTGGTGGGGCCTGGCCGAATCTATTTTCTTAATGAAACTCAATGGTTTTAACCTGGATAAACTCCCTATGTTCCATCGGGACTGTTGAAAGTGTGGGGACTTTTCCAACAGGAGAACACATAGAACTGTGACTCTCTGTTCTGGCTGCTTAAAGATGGGCAGGATCTGAGTAAATGCCAGTTCTTGAGAAAAATCTTAAATGTAAACGCTACCCCTCCCCACCAGTTTTCCCCTCAGCTCCTCCTCTCCTCTCCCTCGCTGCTCCCACAAACAGACGCTCATGCGTGCTTGTATTGTTCTGACTCCCCGGCAATTTACTAGCAGACCATCTGAAAAATGAAGACCTGAAGGCCATGTCTGATTCTGAGGTAAGAAGACTTTCACTGATTCTACAGTCAACTTTTTACCTTTTCATAAAACCCATGGTTACATCCTGTGTTATTATAAAGTATAATTAGCCAAACTGATGGAAAACGGAGCTCAGCTAGCTTACCGTATACCAGCTGAGCTAGTGAGCATTAGCTCTTTCTACTGAAGTTAGAATTAGCCACAACAGCTAGCTTTCCTGCATACAGGCTTATGAAAGCAGACTGTGGCAAATGAAAAACAAATTCTACTCTCCCTGCTGCTTTTTTCAGAAACATAACCCTGACTGTCATAGAGAAAGGCTGAGAGACACAGCAGCTGAAGGTAGAGAGGTCAACAGGGAGTGCTCACAATCTGCCGTTTGTAAATAATTACCCCTGTTTGTGAAACACTTAAATGCTGCTTGGCCGATGGAAAATATACATATTAAAGTTCCACCTCAGGCCTGAGGGTGCCCACTGAGGAATAACGATGTGGTGACAGAGCAGGAAATGGATGGTCAGTGTGGGCTGTCGGGATTTGTAGGAGAGTGACATTCTACTGCCATGTAGAGGGTGAGAAGGAAACACATCAATGTGTTTAAGTGCGGGGGAGGTTTTTGTAACTGTCCACAGTAAATTAGCCTAAGAGTTTTATTTCTCTGCAAAGACAGGCTCTAATACATGAACCACCATCCCTGAGTCTGATAGCCATTTCTTTATACTCTCTCTCTCTATTTGTTCAGTTTGTCTCTGTGCTGCTTTTGCATCTTTATGTAATGGTGTAATCATTCAGCTCCTCTTTGGTACCTTGGTGAGCAGATTAAAGGTCCTTACATACCAGGAGAGTTTTTTTTGTGCAATTATTTCGGACGTCAATATTTGTTTGGAACCTATATCCTGTCAATACAAGCGTTCACATCAGCAATGTTTTCCCATCCTGCGATATTGCAGCATTTATTTTTTTGCACCACGGTCGATTTTTCTAAAGTTTCACATACTGTATGTCCACTACTGACCAATTAGATTGCGTGTTGTTGCGACGTCAGATTCACTGGTAAATCCAACATGGCCGACCGGCTGATCGTTAATGTGTCGGAGAACAGAGTGCTTTTTGATAAAAAACACACACATTACAAAGATAACATCTTGTGAAGAGTCATAGTGTCTGATTTCTAATATGACGATGATTTGTGTGCTTTAACAGTTTGCTTAACGTCTTTGTTTTAACTTTCATCTGTGCTAAGTAACTTTAGCTCGTAAGCTAACCTGTTCAGATACAGCATATCATATATATTTTCACTGTCTCAAACTCAATCGCGTTGCTGTCACAGCACCATTAGGTCTCAGTTGTTACCTTACATTTATGGATTATAGTTGAATGCGCTTATCTGGTACTGGCCCCTACTCAGTACATGCTATCATGACAGACAGCCATCTCAACACTAGTGTCTAATCAGAATTGAAAAACAGTCAGTCTGGTGTTGTGTCAGTCTTCTCCCTTCCACCAGGGACACGTCTTGAAAAACACACGTTGTGTGTTTTCCTGCTCTCTGTGGGTATTTTTAGTGTATTTTGGGTCTTTTGTATGAATTTTTTGTTCTGTTGTGGTCATGAAATTGACTCGTAAAGATGTTTATTTCCTCTTTATTAGCGGCTCTGGACCAGAGGAAACCAAACCACTGGGGTCCCTGAAGCTGAGGCCTGCAGACCCGTTCAGCAGCTCAGAGGCCTTGTTTATTCCCCTCATTAGTACAGCCATAGCTCTGCCATGTTTTCCTCCACAACAACATCGGAAGACACAGTCAGAACATAGTCGTTAACAGTAAGAACCTGAATGCCCAGGGTCAACCCTCTTCAGAAAGCCTTCCTCTCTGATTCGCAGACAGTCTTAGTCTTGTCTTTAGCCTGTGTTTGTTAAACATCCTATTTTATGCTTTGATTTTCCCTGATACTCCCTGATACTTTGAATCTATGCTGCTGTCCTCTTCACCTTTTTGTTATGAGCATGTTATACCTGATGGTTATTTATTTATTTATTTATTTTGTCACAGTTAAATCACCGACAGTCTTATTTACTTCAGTACATCCATCATGTTTCATAAGCATAAAAAAAACTAAAACCGACTAAATCAAACTCCCGTTTTATGTGATGACTCTCTTTCATTGTTTCAGACTAAGCTGTGTTAGAGGTTCATTGAGTAAGGACAGGGATGTTTGGAGATTTCCAAAAGCCAGGTTTATTTAGATGATTCCTGTAAATCTGTGGCGCTCACTTAAGACATTCAGTGTTA